CCATAAACTTTGGATTTCTACCAAGAGAATGACTGCCAAGTAGACCAACGAATCTTATGGTGTAAGGAAGTGTTCGAGAAGTTCCATCCATAATGTGAGAATGTGAGATACCCTTCCCATAATCGTGATATATATAGTCTCTGAAACCTGACCATTGATGGAAAAGTAATTATCACCAGCCAAAATACGTACAGAAAAGTGAATTCGCTTCAACTATCTACAGAGGAAAGTGTACTCATCAATACTGTAGTCTGCTAACAATGTGATATGTTGAGACTAATGAATAGTTAGATTCGCTGTCCGTAAATAGGATCAAATCTGAGACGAAAGGTCAAAACGGCTATTTCCTAAGACAATGACTCCTTGAGTAACTTCCAAAGAGTGAAACATTGAAGAAAGAAAACCTACGATTAGCAACAATAAGTCGCAAACACTATCTTTGTATCTTGTGACTCACATCCTTGAATTACTCAAACTTGCTGTGTTAACTACACCCTTTAAACATCTCACTTGATCAAATCTTGAAAAGACTGAATTACATTCTTTGTATCAAAATAATAAAACCACAATTCTTCATCAAAAGAAAAGATGCTTTATGATACCGATCTTTGAAAACTATACCCTGTGAAATACGTGACTCGATCACAATAGTAAAACTACCCTGACTTGAACATTATGTTGAGCCTCTCTTTGTGGGCCACAAAACGATCAATACAATTACGTTATCTCTCAAGATTATTATCGATGATATTATTGACCAAACAAACTCCGTTTTAACCCTAGCAAGGAAATGTATGTGCAACAGCCAGAGAAGAAATGACGTCACAAGATCAAGCTGAATCATTCAATCGAAAATCCTGAACCATATGCGATGTTGGTGTAAGAACAAGTAAAGATTCCTCACTCTATGAATTCATGAATTGAATCACGTACTGAAGATATTCTCTTCTTCCCTCGATACGAGATCAACCATAGTGTTACAATCAAACCTGTCACTATCATGGGCGTATCTTGATATACATCCAAAATTGAAGAGAGAAAGTTGAGAACGACAAGATGTATTTAAAACGCCACTCAAACGTCAACACCTATGAGTGTGGATTAACACAAAGACTCATTGATGATAATGAGAGCTACCATGAAGTGAACGAAGAAATGTTTCGATGTAAGGATGATGATGACAAGCTACTGTACAATCAATCGACAGTACCTCTTCATAAATGATGACAAATTCCATATTCTGGAAATCATGAACCGATAAAAGCCATTTGACGTTATCTACGAGTCATTGCTGGACTATGTGAACGATGTGAAGATGTTTTGAATGACTTAGAAGATTACACTATGACGTATGAATTGAAAAAAATTCTAAATCCCAACCTATACCTACCGTGAAGATGATGGTTTGAAACTGCAAATACCATTGAAGAACCTTGAATTAGAGAAATAATGTTGTCGACTAATGAAGTACACTCAAGATTTGTGAATGAACGAAATGATGTGCAGATATGTCAAGTATGCTCGAAAATACGATGTTATACCTTGCAAAGGAACTTAGGTTATGGATGTTGAATCTGAACCGGAACCTACGAAAGGGATTGTTGGATGCCTTGCGTAATCAAAGATTATTAAACTCTTGAAGAAAGAACGAGTTGATAACATCGACAGTTTGAGAATACGTGTCCGTTTAGATAATGACATATTTATGGTTTAACCAAATGAACATGACACGGTCATGATAAAGTAAGATCACTATGAAATATTGAACGTTTGGCCTTAGAAGAATTTTGAGGATGAAATTCCTCTAGGGGGGATGTAACGCCCCAAAACATACCCTAGAATTATTAATGAATAATTATTCAATTAATCAAATTTTTTTTTATTAAACTAAATTATTGTTCGGCTTTGGGCCGATACAAAATGTGTTTTGATATCTAATATCACAATCTGGATAAGTCTCATAAAGATAAATCCAATATGTTGATTAATTGTGTGATTTTGATTGGGACCTGAGTACAGACCCAAATTAAGAATAAATGAAGAATTTGTTTATGATGTGAACTTTAAAATGATTTATCAAAATAAATCACGAGAATAGTTAATATAAATTAAATATGGGAACCTTTTTGAATAAAGGTCAATTAAATGATTTTGACTTTGTCAAAGTCAAACACCTAAAAATATGATGTCAGAAAAAGTATTACAAATAATTATGAAAATTATACCGTTGGATAGAATTCGACTGTCTGATCGCAATGGTGTAAATGAAATTTAATTCAGAGAAAGTTGGACCAAAAATTGTACCCCGACTAGAACCAAAATTGATCCCAATCAGTGAACGGCGTGAAAATCTCATAGAATCGCCGTCATGTGCACTAAGGAAATTCTACGATCATCACTGACTCAGCTCATTGGCAGCATCCTCCTTCTTCTCCTATATATAGAGACATCCCTTCTTCCCATTTTCTCACCAAACATACCAAAATTAGTATCAAAGAGTTCCTTGTTGAGTGGAGAGTTCGTTGGTGTTGCCCAGAAAGCTTAAAGTCACCGGAGCTGAGAGTAATCGTCGCCGGAAGTTTCGCCGGAAAATCTTCAAAACCTCCATTACGCTTCGAGGTAAGCCTGTAGATATATCTAGTGACTAGAATGTTCATATAGGTCGTTTTTACGTTCATAATTAGTCACTTGGTTGAGTTTTGTGTTTGACATGCTTCAAGAACTAATAATCATAAATCTTGAATTTGATGCTAAAACTACAAATTTATGACTCTAAAATGATCTGTGAACATTAGAGAACATTTCTATATAATTTAATTGAAGTTTGGTGATTAAAAATGATAATACTCAAAACTGACCAGAGGAAGAAGATGATGAACAGTAGCCGAAAATCGATTATTTCCTTACTAAGAATCGATTAGAACTTTGTTCAGATGAGGTGTTCAAAGTCAGAAAAACATAATCGATTATTTTAAAAGTTTAAATCAATTTTAATGTATTAATCGATTATTTTAAAGAAATAAATTGATTTTAATTAATTAATCGATTATGTATAAAATATAAATTGATTTTAAATAAATAATCGATTATTTATAAATATAAATCAATTTTATGTATAATCGATTATTATATATATAATAATCGATTTTTCCTCAAGTCTAGTTCCTGCTCCGAAAATATTCCCCAAAATGAGCTCTGAAATCCTATTTTTGGATATCAATTAATTATGAACAATATAAATATGATTTTGTACAATAAAAATGATGTTTTTGGCATATAAAACATTATGTGATGCATGACAGTATGTTCGTGTGTTAACACTCGAAACTAAGCCGCTACTTGCTATTAGATGTTATATTAATTGATAACTATGATGAATGATTATTGTGAATAATTATGAATGATAAATCTACTGATTAGAATGATTATTGATGATTAAATCATGATTAAAAATGAATATAATGGTGATCATGAAAACGGTGTATATTGTTAAACATATCTAGAAGAACTCTAAGATATACCTCTTTGACCAATTCATAACTTGGGGTTAAAACGTACGTACGGGATCCAGAACGGATATCACCCACCCGACAGTTCACTGTTCGGTTTGTTACGTAATCTGCATGACTGATAGGGTGGATTATCGATTCTTGTGTTCTGTATTAAACTATTTATAGTTTAAAGGCCTCGTTAGAAATGTTGCCTTAGACTAGGAATAGCTAAGAGCTGGTTATAAAATGATTTGGCCTTAGATTAAGAATAATTTAAGAGCATTGTTGAGATATTGAATATCAAATGACTTGGAATAAAATATTGAGAATATCGTGAATATGTGAATCATATATTGTGTGCATGATATCAAATGGTTGATTGTGAATTGAGATTCAATTTATGTGGATGTTCGACGCATTAGATATGTTTAGTAAGCTTTACCGCTGAGCGTGTGGTGTGTTATATTTGTTACACGCAGGTAAACAAAAAGAACAATGTAATCCTGGCGGCAGATGGGGCGAGATTGTGGGGATGGATCATGTTTGAAATGATTTATGATATGTCAATATTAAATTCGCTTCCGCAATATTGTTGAATACTCCGTACTGTATATGTTATGAAAAATATTATTGGGATTAATAAAATGTTTTTGAAAAGTTTTAAATTTTTACAATTACCAAGTTAATTCTTTAGTCCGAAAGGGGCTGTAGACCTGGACGGATTAGGGTGTTACATTTTGGTATCAGAGCAAATGGTTATAAACCCGATCTTCGGATCAAAATTTGATTTTTAAAAAAAATGTCAATCACATTCACGACTCTTGCATCCCTCTGCTCCAAGAAAGGTATGAGAATTTACTAGGTACATATTGACTTGTTAAAATTCTCATTAGATAACAATTGATTAATACTGAAATCGTATCGAGCGTAGACTCTAGTAGAATTTTCGTACTCAGCAAGAGACGAAAGAATAAAAAAAAGTTATGACTCCCTGATACGTTATCAACGTACTTATCGCATCGAGAATGACAAAACTAATCTTCCTCAAAAAGTCGCATAGAAGTGAGACGACTATGAAGAAACGATTAATGTTGAATAACATCTGTGAAGCTGCTGTCAAAGATCCTCATGTGGACTGAATACGATCTGATCGCTGATTCAAACACGAACGTTAAGAATCAATAAACCTTGTTGTCTAAAGTATCCCGTTCTGATGTCTAACTCATTACGACACATGGAAATCATTCGTTAAACAATAATTCCTTGCAAAATCTCATTGAAATAGCATACAAGGAAATAGACATCATCCTTAGTATGAATTGACTGACTGAACGTCGTTGCTATTGACAACTTGTGATGAAGAATTCCTCAACTAAAGACCAATGATGGTAACCTCATAGAGGTGAAAGCAAAGCTGATTTCTAAACCAACCAAGTTCATCTCGAATATAAATACGCGAAAACGTCTCAACCGTAAGAAGTATGAAGTCTATCCGTGTGATACACGAAAAGAAACATCTGAACTGAAAGAACGTACCGAAAGGATGTCATCTCTTTGATATGAACTTCCTAATATTTCACCATTCCGAGAAATTGAATTCTCAGTCAATCTTGATCCTAGAAAGGACCAATATTTGTAACTCCGTATTGAATGTGTTTCCGACGAAACTGAAAACTCAACTATAAAGATTTCCTGACAAAGAATAATCTGACCAAGTGTTTCCTCCTTGGGAGAATACTTGCTCTGTTCATACACGAATAAAGAAGGATCGATGAGACTCTTTATCAACTATTGTCAGTTGAACAATTCGTTATCCTTTACCTCGTATCATGACTTATTTGATCAGCTTAGAGAATCCATTGTATTCTCTAAGATTGACTTACGGTCAGAATACCCACAAATCCCTATTTAAGAAACTTGAACAAACTAACAAGAATCGCTACCCTGTCCTATGTACTGACAATTCGTTCAGTAAAATACAAAGAACCTGTTTGTTAGAAGCTATAGACGGCTCGAGCTTGTTGAAAGAACTGACACCTTGTTATGAAGCAACTAATAACTTAATTGCTTATCATCGAAAACATTGATTAAGCCTGATTGAATCAATGAAGTAAAGTGATGCTCACAAGACAAATCATTATGATAATTAACTCATTCGTGTATCCTATTGACGCAAAAGATCGCAACGTGGTAACAATACAAAACAAGACTGTGGCACCAACAATGAAAGACTGAAGGATGAAGAAAATGTAGCTTGCACCGGCCATGCAGCTAAGAGTAATATTTATGGCTAACTATTGATGTGTATAGATAACAAAAATACAACTTGGATTACATGAGGAACGTTATAGATGCAACTCTATGTCTAATCTTCCAGGATTTACAAAGTTGTCATAACTAGCCCCACGACCCAGAAAAGCTTTAGCAAACTCTAGTTTGTCTAAAAGTTCACCAACAAAGAAAGAAGAAATGAAAAGTTTCCTCTGACTGGAAGCCATGAAGTTCTGCCTCACCACATCGTCTAAGAATTTGATAAGATTATTGAAATAACCGTCAATGTTTAAGAGACCAATGGGTCTATTGTGTAACCCTTCAGAAGCCCACGAGATTAAGGTGAACAAACCTTCCATAGTGTCAACTCCTCCGAGAAGTACAATTAAAGCTTCCACGGCATGATTCATCTCAAAATATTTGTAATAGTTGCTGGAAACTGTGTTCTCTACACCATACGTAGGTCCGTAGACCTGCCGTGTTACTATGTATCCAGGTATGAAACCTCTGACGAGATCACCATTGTTAAAGACTGTTGAAGCAACAGCTCCCTGAAGGCCAACGTTGCGTCCTCCATAAGCAAGTTTAATATTTCGACTCATCAATTCCCTTCCTAAATCTTCCGCAGTAGCCATAAACTTTGGATTTCTACCAAGAGAATGACTGCCAAGTAGACCAACGAATCTTATGGTGTAAGGAAGTGTTCGAGAAGTTCCATCCATAATGTGAGAATGTGAGATACCCTTCCCATAATCGTGATATATATAGTCTCTGAAACCTGACCATTGATGGAAAAGTAATTATCACCAGCCAAAATACGTACAGAAAAGTGAATTCGCTTCAACTATCTACAGAGGAAAGTGTACTCATCAATACTGTAGTCTGCTAACAATGTGATATGTTGAGACTAATGAATAGTTAGATTCGCTGTCCGTAAATAGGATCAAATCTGAG